TTTAAGGATGCGGAACACATGTTTCTGAGAGTGAATCATTAATTTTAATTTTGAGGTTTGCCACATCTTCCTTGTGGTTTCCAGCCCTGTTGTGTCCTGGAGTCATGAGGGAAAGAGTAATTCATTGGTCACTAATTCAGAGCAGATACTCCATCCTGCAAAAGAACGTCCCAACCTTATAATGAATGGATGGGAGTACAGGACAACATGGGAAAATGAATGCAATTAACATGTTATTTACATTTTTTACATTGATATGATTGCTATGTTTGTCAATATGGTTCTAAGGCAGCATTATTAAAACAAGGGCAAGAACAAAAAGCCAAGTAATTAAGGATAGTTTCAGCAAATACCTAGATAAGGAAACATACTAAATTGAATGGAAACCTCGCCATGTAACTTTTAGAAGCTGGGTTTCTTTGTTAACAAAGACCATTTCAGTGAGTCCTGGATATACTGCACCATTTTACCCTCCTGTTAATTGTTTTTCAAGAGTATTTGTATCACCATACTCTGGTTAGCAGAATTACTTTTTTAAAAAGCCCAGCTATTTTGAAAAAGAATAAAAGCATTTTAATTTGCATTTCTTTCTTTATTGGTGAACTGAACATTTTTCATGTGATTACTGGATGTTTGTGTTTTATTTTTTTTAAGTGTTCATTTATTTATTTTTGAGAGAGAGGGGAGAGAGCAGGGCAGGGGGAGAGAGAGAATCCAAAGCAGGCTCCACGCTGTCAGCACAGAGCCCAACGTGGGGCTCAGTCTCACAAACCGGGAGATCATGACCTGAGCTGACATCAATAGTCGGATGCTTAACCAACAGAGCCACCCTGGCGCCCTTGGATGTTTGTATTTTCTGTGAACATTTCATCTGTTGATAAATTTTTTTTCTCATATTCTTAGTGCGTTTCTAGTAGTTTCACGTGATCTGGCTCTAGATTCTATATTGTCTTCTGTGTTTATTCTTGAGGTTCACATATTTTTGAGGTTCATTGGATATGTATTTTTAGAACTTGTCACAATGAAAATTTTGACTTAAAAAAAAACTGAAACCAAAAGCATTTGTGCTGTTTTTGCGCTGATGAACCACCACCAACCACTCCCCAAATACAGATAATTGGAATCCCTGTAGGCAGGGCCAAACAGATTTTGAGAAGCAAAGAGCGTGCTTCATGAATGCCCTCTACCTTTAAATGTGGTGGACGTGAACATGGCTTAGAAGATTTTGAGGTCAGGAGTTAAATTGTGCTTATCCCTTTCGCTTAATTCTCTTACTGACAGGGAGTGAGCAAGTGAATGGATGGCTTGTTCTTCATGTAGGATATAGGCTTAAAAACCAGTCTTGCCATTTTTTGTTTGTAAACCAGCACTGAGCTTTGAAAGACTATCCATCCAGCAGACAGGTCTGTAACTTAGGAGTAAATGGAGGCTTGTAACTGGGCAGTGTATATACTAGTTCATCTTGAGGGAACCGCACCTGAGGAATGAATGCGAAAAAACCATTTAGACCATTGAGGGTGAGCTGTCCATCGATTTGGTGGAGAAAAATATCCCTTGGGTATTTCATAAGGTATGTTGTATTTGGAGTTCATGCTGCACACTGGGAATTTTTATAAGTTATGAAAACTAGAGGTGAAAGTTACAGGGCCAGACGGATGGGAGACATAGCTCATCTAGTAAACTATTAATGATGCTCCCCTAATCTGTTTATTGGTGGCCTTTTCGTAATGCCCAGGGCCTTCTACTGAGATTTCTAGCATGGCAGCCCAAATAAGAATTCCTCATTCATAACGCTCCTCTGAATTCTGCTTACCATGTTGTGTTGGCGGTTTAATATGGATTAAATAAGGTACTTACTTCTTTAGGTGTCCCCATGTGTGAGTGCATGCTTCTTAGCAGTCTTTTCAAAACTGAGAACATTCTTCTCGGGTGAGGGTGGGACTTATTCCAAGACCTGCTGACATGCCTTTCCACGGTGGTCGAGGTTGGGGGAGCACACTCTCTGTGGGTGACAGGGTGTTATTTATGGGACCAAAGAGGCCTTGAAGCTAAGACTTCTTAACTCCCAGATCTTGCTATTCTTATGGAGAAAAATAGGAGGGGCTGGATGTGAAATAACCCAAAACCTTTGCTTCATGTGGGGGTTTCATTCCCCTTAGATATTCCCATCAGCTGCCATTTAACCATTTAACCAGAGAATTGTAAGAGCTTTCCTCCTGGATTAGACAGCTATCTCAGCTGGTCCGCAGGGAACACTGGCCCAGTACGCACGTTCCTCGGGTGGGGGATGAGCATTCCAGCCACCAGGAGTCAATTTTAACCAAGAAAATGCATGAGTTATTGATGTTCTTTAGGCTCTGAAGTTGGGAATCCGTGGCCCATTACACACCGAGACATCCCAGTCCTGTGGTTTGAGGGAGCGGAGTTCAGATCGGGTTTGGCATAACGTACAGGAAAGACTATAGGTTTGTAGATTCTGACAGTCCTGGCTTCAGACTCCCTCTCTGCCACTTCCCAGCTCCGGGACTGGGGCAAACTCTTCACTCTGTCCTGTTTCCTTATTTATAGGATGGGCTTAGCACCTTCCTCATGCGCTTGTGAGATGATTGCATGGACACAGGTAGAAGCTTCTCTTAAAGGTTCTTGCTACTCACACACACACTCACACACACAAATGGTTAACTGTGAGGGAGTGTATGTGTTCATTAACCTTACTATAATCATTCACAATATATACTTATGTCAAATCACTTCTTAAACTGACACAATGTTATATGTTAACTGTATCTCAGTGGAGCTGGGGGGGGGAAGAGCCCGACAAGTTCGGCCCCCAGGTGATAGACGATCAGTGTTACAGAAGTGTTACTACCCACATAGTTTCAGTATAGCCGACCGGTTCCTCCTGGTGAGAATATTCACAAGTTTAACACTCCTTGAGAGAGGGTGAGGCTTTCCTTTCCCAGGGATTCACCTCACATGTCTATTAAACAAGCACTGGCTGTGGGCCAGATATGCCTTATGATCCATCAACAATGGCGTGACCTCTGCAGTGACAGAGATGATGTAATTACAATATAAAAATGTAAGTGACACACTAAGTCACATGGATAATCAGCAAAGAAATGATAAATTTTCTGCCAGTAGATTGGAGGCAGATCTGTACCACCACCCCCTTCCTGAAACAAAGAGGAAAATTCAAAACTCCACAACCACCTTCCAGACTGCAGATTCCTTCCAGAATGGACCTGAGGAAGTGTCTTTTAGTATTCTCAGCCTGCTCTAAGAAAGACCACCCGCTCCGGCTCCCTCTGCCCTGACGGGTTGGGGGGGGTGCGTTTGGAAAGACTAACACTAGCAGATCACTGGCCATGGCAGAGACCATCGCTTTTGGTGTACGTGTCTCCAAGACTGTGTTTTCTGAACCAACTAAAACAGAAAAGAACTCCGCTCAGTCGCACATGTGCTCAAGTCTTGTAGTTTCCTTGTGGAAGCATAAAAAGTAGTTCATAAAGCTCAGGGCTAACCACTTGTACTTCTGTCTCTACTTCTAAATTAGGGGCTCAGTCCAAACATCTTAGTGTGTGGATGGGGAAGATGCAGAGAAGTGACCAGGTAGGGCCCCCCCCCCACCCCCAGCCACCTGCAGAGATAGGCTGACTCCACTTCTAGAACTCCTCTGCTAGGCTTGTGAGCTCCACATACAATCATACAGGGGCAGACAGTACCTGAGGCCTCCGACACTCTCAGGGTGGGGGTGGGGGGCTGTATGGTAAGTGTAGGGGTAGCAGGTAGCTGGTGTGGATGATATCTCAGGACCAGTCACCTCTGCCAACATCCATGGTCCAGATATGGAATAGGAACGGATACATTTGGTCTTGACATTTATACACAGGAAACCATGCTGCTCTTGATCAAAGTTCTAAAGACTCTTTTTTTTTTTTTTTTTAGAGAGCACGGGAATGGGGGAGAGGCAGAGAGAGGGAGAGAATCCTAAGCAGGCTCCATACTGTCAGTGCAGAGCCTGGGGCCGGGGGGCGGGGGGGCTCGATCTCAGTCATGGAGAGTTCATGATCTGAGCTGAAACCACGACTCTGGAGCTCAACCCACTGAGACACCCTGGTGCCCCTGGAGCAATTCCTTTGAAAGGGAAAGTGATTCTGTGGAGCACTTATCTTCGAACACAATTTAGTAAGAAAGGTTAAGTTTGATTAGGCCACCAAGGCTTCCTTTGTTAGAATGTGCTCCTTATAACCATCTTCTTGTAAAGAACGACGACGAACTTGGCACTTTGCTCTAAATACGGACATAGACAATTGAAACAATACAACTTTATTTTACTTAATTATGACAAGAATTTTCAAAAACTCACAACTCTATACTATTTCTGGTATTTAAGTACAAAACATTTCACATTTAGCACAAATAATATAAGCTAATGCAGAAGTAGATGTGGATGAACCGAATGAATTATTCCCTTGGTATGTTTGAAAGCCAAGTGTGCTGCTGTGTTGTTATAAAGTCACAGGACGGGGCCCTGGAGTCCCTGGGTGGGACGTGGGAGGGTCAAGCGAGAAGGACTTGGGTTTGTCACTCCGGACCTTTTAGCTCAGAGCAGCAGACTGAGGGTGTGGCCGGCAGCTCTTGATGGGGGGGTGGGGGGGGGAGCAGTTCTCAGTCCATTCTGGTTTCTCCATAAACAGCCCAAAGCTAACTTTTCTCGGATGTGCTCCTTTCTAACACCGAGAAAGGGCTTTTCTTGGCTGCTAGGGAGCAGGGAACGGGCTGTGGCGAGTGATTATGTGAGAGCAGCCAGGCATAAGGTCAGACGCTATGGAAAACGGGGAGGGGCACGGAGAGACAGCTTCTTCTTCCTTCTGTAGACTGGGGACGAGGGGACTTAGGGACATTTTCCTGAGTGTGAAAGGAAGGATGCAGGTTTGAAAAGTCTGTAAATGTACATTAAAACAGAGACACACTGATATGGAAAACAAACAGAAAAAGGCGTTGTAAATACACTTTTATTTAAAATTAAGATTTCTGAAACAACTATACTAAGAGTGGTATTAGAGGTCTTTTGCTCAGGAAGACATAGCACTGAAATAATTTGTTAATTTTAACTTTGGAGGGTTCTTTTTAAAGCACCACTTAAAACTTACATATTGCCCCCCAAATTTAAATGTAGAAAAGCTGTTCATCTCAGGAACGAGTGTGAGAATGCACGAGGAAACGACAGAGCCAGTATCCTCTGGTTACCGCCACGGAACACCAAATTCAAGGCCGTTTGGGGAATTTCCTACCCTGCTTGCTCACAGGAAAACAAAACCAGCAAGGAGTTTCCTGGTGAATTTCTTCTTGGTAAATTTCTAGCCCGTTGGAGGGCGACACGTTCTCTTAAGTAGGTTACGGGCCAGATCGTTTCGGACTTTGAAACTCATCCTCCAAAACGATAAAGCACAGGATTGACAAGTGTCTTGTTTTTTGAGAAACCTTGAGAAATGACCACAATTGTACCACATGAGGGAAAAAAAACCCCCAAAACTGGAACGAGTCGTAACAACCTTGGAAAACTTTTAAGTTTTAGGTTTATTTTGAAACCAACTTGCAAACGAGAGAGAAGAGAAACCACACACGTGTGCAGGGCGCCGCCGAAGCGGCCGAGACACCCTGGACGCGTCCCGTGTCCCGACAGCCCTGTGCCCGCACCAGACGGGCGGCTCTGACCCCCCAGGCGTGTGCTCCGCACCCCGCGTCCGCGCCCCCGCACCCCCCGCCCCGGGCGGCGTCCCCGGGGCGCCCCCTCATCGCCGGTGGGGCCGCTTCTCGTACTTGTCGTGGCCGCCGCGCTTCGGGGGCGGCGAGTGGCCGCGCGCGCCCCGGCCCTGGAGGGTGGGCGTGTAGGGGTGGCCTCGGTGCTTCTTGCGGTTTTCTTCTTTCTGGCTCTGGCTTTTCGCAGGTTCTTTGCTGGCCTCCTTCTGCTCAGGGTCTTGCTCTTTGTGGGAGGGCAGCGTGTTCTTAATGGTGTTAATCAGAAATCTTTTATTTGTCCCGGCGAGGGGACACTTCATCCTGCGGAGGAAAAAAAATAAAGAGCCGGGTCTCAGGGCACACGGCTGACCCCGCAGCCGCACCCACGGGTCACCGCTCCGGCCGCAGGCGGCTGCGAACACGCCGGCAGGCGGCAGGGCCCGTTCGGCTTTCCTTGCATGCCACCTAGTGTAAACTCTGAGTACAGGGGGGAAAGGCAAGAATCCCGGGGACCGCCAGGCTGCGCCTCATCGGCCTACTTCACCCCCTTCTGCCTTACTGGGACTCGCCTTCCCCCGCACTGCGGTGTGTCCGCCACGGTGTGAAAGAGGAATCACTTAACCTTTGCTCCGTGAATCATCAGCGCCTGATTGGACTCTAATCTTGCATCTCTGAGTTAAATTTATCATGGTTTGTGTTTCTGACCAAAGAGTGAAGAAAAAAAAAAAAAGTCCCTCTCTGAGCAACAAAAAAGTGTATCTTGCTATGTCTTGGGTACTGGAGCTAAATGCTCTATTCTAGGAACGGAAATTATCCAAAGAATCCATAAAAATGCAATAGTCACTTTTTACCTTTAAAATACCTCTTACACTTTCCCTGTCAGGAACTCCAGTCTGTGTTGGGGGCGGGGGCAGTTCACACAGGCCCACCCTCCAGGTCAATTCCTGTTCCAGGTATATTTAAGTAGCTTGTGAGTCAAGTTCACCCACGAGATAAGATGTAACTCATTAAATTATTAGTTTACATGCCTGGGTGTGCACTACAGTATTTGTTTTCCTTTGCAATGTATTAAATCCCTCAGTGAACAAGAGCCTGCATGTTTCTCTTGGCCTGAGGCTGCCTGCCACGTGATGGGCTACTTTATTTTAGGAGGATGCTGATCCCCAAAATCCTGTTTCTCAGGGTGGCTGGTATTCAACAGAAATGAATGTAGAGATGATGTTTCCTATAATCTCCATCTTTATAGGAAGCCGATTCAGGGGGAGACCCACACAATTACTTCAAAATCAATATACTGGCACCCCACTGGAGCGACTTTGCAGCCTGGCTGGTACCCCATCGGGAAAAACAGACGCAGATGTCAGCCTATTGTGGTGGACAGGGAGGTCAGGCCGCCTCAAGCACCCAGAATGGCATCGGATCGGGAAGTGAAACGGAAGGTGGAGAAAAAGAGAAGAACACGTCTCCTGCGGCAGATGGGCAGCTCTGGAGCCTACGTGGACAGAGAAAATACCTGAGAAGAATCAAAGGTGTGGTGAGCACTCGATGTGCAGCACGCGGCTAATGCTCAGGCCAGAGTGTTGACAGGCAGAATGGGAACAGGAGAAAAAGAAATGTGGTCAGAAAGGACAGTGGGTGCGGTCGGAGCAGTGGGGACGCGTGGAGGCGGTAGTAACGCCGGAGGTCTGGTTTGGTTTTCCTGTTAGCGCTGGCGTTTAGCAGCCACAGCGCACGAGATGAGGGGCAAAGGGGGGCAGTGACAACCAGCAAAGGGAAAACCAGATCTGAGGCACGGGGGTGGGGGTGGGGGTGTAGAACACCATGTAGCTCCCGGTGGCCCCGTGGGGCTTTGCTGAGCTTCCAGAAGGAGCACACCAAGCACATTATGCTACCTCAGTGGTCCCAGGGCAGAGCCACCTGGCTGTCCTGGAAACACAGCCCTGAACAATCGGGGGGCAGGGGGGGCATCGATGAGAGGCGGCCCCGCTCGGACTTCTGTGGCATCAGAGGGGCTCTGCTCCGGCGAAGAAACCTGCACCCCTGCAAACTCAGGAAAAGATGTGGAAGAGTACGACACACCGGTGTCCCAAAGAGCACCATGCGGCTGGTGTGCGGGAGAACGCTGCCCTTCGACGTGGAGGGTGACGAGCCGAGCGTGCCCAGTGCTTACAGCAGGCGTGGGATCGCTCGTGTGAGCCGACGGACCACACGGGTCTCTTGCATATGGGAGGCTACCAACGGCCAGCTCCGGAAAATTCTGGGGTATGTTCAGTGGAGCGTGCCAGGCCAGTGCTGATAAAACCGGCCAGTTCTTCTCTGGCTTAGACCAAGGAGGACAGGCGAGTATTGCCAGACGGGACAAAAATCCAGGACATCAAAGTAAAACCTTTGGTAACTCCTGGTGGATTCCGCTCTACTTTGCTATCTTCACGAACAGCCGTCTTGACCCCTGTGGGCTTGCCTGAGGGGAGCAAGGCTTTTCTGCCAGGGACTCGCAGAGTTCCTGCCCAGAGAGTGGGGGCTGTGGGGGAGGCGACCGTTCCTATCCTCCAGCTAGGACCCACTGACTCAACACGGCAACCAGAAGAGCTGTCTGGAGAATGACAGGGCATTCCAGAGTCAAGTCCACAAGAACACTGGCCTTCACCGCTCTTTTTCAAATTAGAGGTGGGATTTTTAATGCTGGTTGTGCCTAGGAGTCTATTCCAGATACTGAGTCAAGGGCAGCGTGGACAGAGTTGGGTTGAGCTGGGTGGGGGTGGGGAGCAGCGGTGAGAGTGACTCCCCCCCAAAACATCCCAGGGCACACTTTAGAAATGACACCAAGCGCTTATTTGTACTCTTAATAAAAGAGGCAGAGCAAGGAGACAGAGGGGTGGGTGCAAGCAGATGCGGAGGTACATGTAGTAAATGATTCCATATAAAGAAGTTATAAAGTCTGCAGCAAGAATATCACAGTATAAGGTGCGTAACAGTGTTGCTGACATTTGAGGACACCCCAGGGAAGAGAGCTGCTCCACCCTTCCATGTGGTCACTCACTTTGCCGAACCTCACAGCCCGGCGTTTACTGCTGCACACGCATACAACAGGGTACCGGCTGAGCTCACGGGCTCTGAAATCACACCATCCATCGGACGGACCCCTGGGCCTGGTATATCATCTCCCTACTGCCTCTTGCCTGTTAAACGTGGGAAATGGCTGCAGGTTCAAAAGTGAGAACAAGGAAAGTGCTTAGAATAATACCTCATCTACGACAAGCACTTGGTACATGTTAGCTCTGGTCTATATCCTAGCTCTGCTAATTAGCTGTGTGACCGTGGGCAAGTTACTTAACTCCGCTGTGTGTCAGTTTCCCCCATGTGCAAAGAGGGGTAACAAGTATCTATCTTCTGGGAGGATATGATGAGGCAATGCATAAAGCACGGAGCACAGTACCTGCCTGGCACATGGTAAATCTTCAATGAAAGTTACCTATCAGTCTAGAATTGCTTACCCACAATTCCAAAATGTTAAAACCTCTGAAAATCAAGTTCTTTATATGATGCTGAAACTTGTTTGGCAGCAACACGTGGCCTAACCGGACACTGGGATATCTATGTCCGGTCTTTATCCCATTTCCTTTCTATTTCTTCTAGATTCAGATGTTTGGGGGCAGAAGTGATAACGTGTTGAACGGGCAAGCACTCCTGGGGGTGTTCGCAGAGCACATGTGTGCTTAAGTACCTTTCTAAAATGGGAAAATATCTAAATTTAGAAACTCATCAGGATCAAGGGCTTTAAACAAGGGACTGTGGACCTAGGTTATTATTCATCCTCTCTGTGAAAAAGAATATGTGTAACACGCACATGCGTCAATTTCACAGGGATTTCTCATTGATGGTGAGTCAAGGGGACAGCCTGAGCTCTCAAGTCACTTGGGAGAGGAAGTTAATCAAGAACAGAGCGGGCTACCCAATGTTTCTCAATGAAAAAAAAAAAAAATTAAAAGAAGGGAAAAACCTGCTGGAGCCATCAAGAAAAGTCAATGAGATTTTCTAGAAATTTTCATAAAAATGGTTAGAACTGGAAAGTTTTGGTACTTCTATACCCAGAAGTTTCCCTTTCCAGGACATCTCAGTCCCCCACTGATGTGGGGGGGGGGAGGGGGCTACCGGCATTCTCTCTGAGCTTCTAATCTGCATTTCCTAACATTCTGCAAACCCTGCAGAAGCTCTTCAGACAGAGCCCTGAAGGTCAAAGTATGTAGGTGGTGTCCCAAGTCCGTCCCAGTTTTGAAATTCTCCACTCATGTTCTATATGTCAGCCCTTTAGGAAACTACTCTTCTCATTCATCCCGTTTGAAAACTCAGTTCATCAATCTCTCCATCTAGCTTCTCAGCTCTCTTGGTGCCACTTTTCCCCGTATTTGCGATGACGTCAGAAGCTAGCATTAGTTACCCACCATCGCAGAGTTTTTCAGGTCTGCACCGAGGGAAAGCCTGAGCCCGACGGAGAGGCCGGGCCGTGGCAGCTCTGCATGTCTGCACCGCCTCCGTCACTGGCTATGTCCAGGACGCGCTGCTGGGGCAGGGGACCCTATCGGCAGCTGTGACCCACACGATGTCAGCTTTCTCACCCTGGCTGGTTGCCTGTATTTTGGGTTTCAGAAAGCTATCCTAGCTCGTGTGGGGAGAGCCGATTTAAGGGGCTGGCGATATAAATGGATAGAAAACTCTAAATACAATGAACCTGTTACAAGTCCCCTGGAGAGAACCCATGGCAGCACTGACACGCTGAAGACCCAGCAGCCTCTCTCTGGCCAACTCTAAAAGTGACACACGTCACTTCACCTGCAAGGCTGTCCAAGCAGAAGCTGAGAGGAAGGCTCCTGCATGCTGTGGCAGAGGGGGATTTCTCGAGAATCTGCTGGTAGAGAGACTCAGACTGATTGAGGCTGGGATTAGCAGTTTTTCATCTCCCTCTCTCTCATTTTGAAGGGCACACTATATAACCTCATTTGCAAAATAAGGCACTTCCCCCTTTCAGTTAATATACTCGACTTACGAAAGACAGCAGACTATAAAGCAAACCTAGAGAACAGAAAGGGGAAGAGATACGAAATTTTTAATACTTGCTGCCTCTCTACTGCTGATGGAGAGAAGTAGTAACGCCTAGCCTGCTACAGAGCCAGGCCTCACACTTCTGGATCCTAAAATAGTTCCATGGGGGCGCCTGGGTGGCTCAGTTGGTTAAGCCTTAAGCATCCAACGTTTGATCTCTGGTCAGGTCATGATCTCACAGTTGGTGAGATGGAGCCCCACGTGGGCTCTGTGCTGCCAAG